AACCAAGAAGATTGCCCCCTTAGGTATATCACCTGTAGGTCTCCAAAGGCAACGTTGACGATCCTTCATTTGACTGTAAATGGGTCAGGCCACGCGGAAACCGATCTGGCTAATACTCTTTGGTTTTTTCGGTAAAGTCAGGTAGGTAAAAAAATAAAATAAAAATTAAACAATTACTGTATCATTGATACAGTGATTTTGCTGTGATGGTTCCACCTGAAGACTGAAGCTTGTGTTGCCTCCGAAACGTCGTGATTTTTTATATTTTCTTTTTTTACCTACGTGACTTTACCGAAAAAAACAAAGAGTATGGACCCCCTTGCAGTCACGAAAACTTCAAATCTAGAACGATCTGGCTAAGTTTGTGTCGTGAAGCCCTGCCACCACCGACCACCACCAGACGACAATTTTTAATATTTAGTTTTGGTCAGTTTAACACGAGGGAGGCTTTCACGACCAATATTATTCATAATCAACGTTTTGGGTTTAGATCGCGTTATTTATAAATGTGTCGTAACCCTCCACCACCCGACACGGCCAATCAGTAAAAAAGTGTCACGTTGACAAAAGACAAATAGTTCACTGCTTTAGCCCACCGGTGTGTTGAAGCGTGAAACCACAACATTTACAATTTGAGTACGACGTTTCGCTGGTAATTGCATCCAGCATCATCGGGAAATTCGCCATTCTGGCGAATTGCCCGATGATGCTGGATGCAATTATTGATTATGAATTTAGTTTTGGTTTACGACGCACAAATCTGGCCCCGTCATTCTCTGTCACGTGGCCTAACCCAACGGCAGCAAGCGATTTCCGAATCCTGTTGTTGAGTCCGCTTTGGGGCTTCTTGTCTTTCCTCCACGTGATTGGCCGCCCAGATACCCATTTGAGACCGAGTTGACCTAGGGGAGTCCCTGGACTGGTTCGGATAATCGCCACTCATGTTGGCCGTGACTCGAACTCGTGGTGTTTTTGTTGTTGACTGAATGCCGGGGAGTTAAAAACAAAAAAAAGCGTGAGTGATATTTTTGTGTGTGTGTGTTTTGCTGAGCAATGGTTAGTAGGGAAGTGTTTTGGTTAACGCCGGATCTGCGTGTTATCTCGCCTTTGCAAGAAAAACAAAACAAAGTCATAACAACAACTACTCTGCAGCTGTATTTGTGGTTCGGGAAGTCTGTTTAACGTTTCACCGTGCAAATAACGCGTCGTGCTGCTGCTGCTGCATAGGGTGTGAATGATGGGCGGGGGTAGAGGCACATCCCCGCAATTGCTTGCCCATGCCACTGCTCCACTAGAAGCAGCTGAAGAGAGACCCTCTGTAGGGAGTATTTGAGTTGTGGCACCGTGTGGCGTTCGTGGTAGGGCTGAACGATTTGGGGAAAATATCGAATTTCGATTTTTTTTTTTGGACAGATATTGCGATTGCGATTTGATTCGAGATTTAATTTTTCAAAGTGAAGCTTCAGTTCAATATTCACTGTGTAATAGATTTAAAACATGTGAGCATTACCACAAGATACCATCAATATATGAACTGCTCTATATATTCTAATGCAAGGATGAGAACTTGGCCTTGTGACACGTGTGGAGTTGGTGGCACGTGTGGCGTTGGTGGCACTTGTGGTGTTGATGGCACGTGTGTCCTTGTGACACGTGTGGAGTTGATGGCACGTGTGGAGTTGATGGCACTTGTGGGGTTGTTGCTATCACAGACACGCACCCGCTTGTGGCAGCAGGATGAGGGTTGGCACATCTCATCTCGCACATGAGCTGCCACGGGGCGCGGATCTGTTTCTCCACATCCTGCCCGTCCCCCTGTCTCTCCTCGCTCTCTCACTCCCTTTCTGCGTCTCCTGCCAGAGGGACGTCTTCATTGACTCTCTTATTCAGAATTTTTATTTGAAGCTTTCGTGACTGCACGGATTCATATTCTTGGTTCTTTCGGTAAAGTCACGTAGAAGGGAAATAATAAAATAATGAAAATATAAAACAATAAAAATTCTCACGACGTTTCGACTGCAACACAAGCAATCGTCATCAGGTGTGTGAAATCCACAGCAAAAGAACCAAGAATATATATTTCTTATTCTGCTTCGCTCGCTCGCCCCACTGTCATGTTCATCGTTGTCGTTGTTGTTGTGTGTTTGTTTGTTTTGTTCACGCTTTCTGCCACGGACGCGGGTTCGTCGTTCATGGTGGCGGCGGCGGCAAACAGAGGCAGTGGAAAAAATTCACTTTTTCAAAATCGCGATTAGCAAGTTAAGAGTCGACGGGCGATTTTTTCCCCCTTCCCTTCCCTCCTTCCACGGGGCGTTGTCGATTATTTGCTGTTAATTATTGAAGAGCATTTGGCTGCGATGAACTACTTCCACGTGACAAGGCCACTTCGTTGAGCTGTCATTTGTGGCCAGATTCGCTGATGAAATAAAGAAGAAGCTCGTAGCTCGGTGGGCCTTACCTGGTAAGTAAGTAAACAACAAAAATTGTTTCATTTGTAAAGAAACTAAAGGGGCGCCTGTGTTGACATTGGCCGCAAGATGACAAATAAAGAAGAGAGGGAGGAAGTCCCGAGGTGGTTCAGGGGTCAGGGGCGCTGAGAGAGCACGGGTTCGGTTTTAGCTCTGGCCGTGATACATTTGCTTAAAGTGTACAAGTAGGGAAAGCCGCTGTTGCTCTGCAAAAGGAAAACAAGGGAGAGCTGTCAGCGTGTCCGTACCACCCCCTTCTCACGATCCACCCACACCTCCGATTGGCAGGGTTGGCTACGTACGGTGCGAAAGACGTTTACCATTCGCGTGTACACACTCGCAGCACTAAGAGTACATCTGCTTCTTGGTTCTTTCGGTAAAGTCACGTAGAAGGGAAATAATAAAATAATAAAAATGAAACATAATAAAATAATTCTCACGACGTTTCGGCCACAACGCAAGCAGCCGTCCTCAGGTGAAGAACAGGTCTGTCGGAAAGACAGCGTCTGAATTCAGACGCTGTCTCTCCGACAGACCTGTTCTTCTGAATTCAGACACTGTCTTTCCGACAGACCTGTTCTTCACCTGAGGACGGCTGCTTGCGTTGTGGCCGAAACGTCGTGAGAATAATTTTATTATGTTTTATTTTTATTATTTCATTATTTCCCTTCTACGTGACTTTACCGAAAGAACCAAGGAGAGACATACATATAATGTTGCTGCATACGCGTTTGTTCAGGTCAGGACGTGATTTAAAATTGTACAACGATGAATGCTTGGGTAGGTTAATAGAAATGCACACGATGACCGTGACATAGACGCTGCTTTGCGGATGTCAGCTGCCCTGTGTTGATGGCCTCGGCACCAGGCCACCAATGACCGCACAAGAACAACTATTGTCGTGGGAGGCATGTCGCGTTCGCGCTGGAAATTTTGACTAAGCTGCGGTTCTCAAGAATTAAAACACATTCCTGCTGCGGAGGGAGCTGGTAGAAACGTTGGGTTGCTCGGTCAATGGCCAGGGTCAACGGCGGCGTGGTGTATTCCGCAAATATGGCCGACTGTGAGGGCGGGCACAAGCCGGCGTGAGTAGGTTAAACGTTGAGTTTTATAAGGGCACCACGGGGTGAGCAGCCTCTCCCCACCCAGCCCCACCCCTCCCACCCCCCACCCAGCCAACACCCTCCCCACCCAGCCCCTCCCCACCCTCCCCTCTCCACCCAGCCCCACCCCTCCCATTTTTGGATGCATGACGGACGGACGGACACAATAATCCCCTGTGGGCTGGTGGAACCAGGTGGTTCCTACCAGTAATATACCGCTCTGAGTTTGCCGTGCGCCCAGCGTCAGCTTCTGCAGCAGCGGCTAAGAAAGTGCTGCTCGCCGCTATTGCATGGATCAGAGGTCAATTATAGAAGGTGTCTCGGATGTATCTCTGTGATATCCGCTTCCGCGCGGGTCGTTCTCTGACAAGACGGGGGCTCGCTTTGCTCTTTTGCGCGATTTTCAAATGGATTCCTAGTCACGCGTTGTGTAACTTTTGGATGCATCCCCACGTGGTGGTTGGGTGCAGCAATTTGCCATCGCCCTACGCTACTCCTGCCTCTATGCCCCCACGTCTACACGCCCCGCCGTCGCCAGTTGGTGAAGTATGGTCAAACAGCCCCCACCAGGACCCACATGGCGCGGGGAGCCCCCCCCCCCCTCCCCTAGGAGAGGAGTGACACACGTATTGATAGCTAAGCCTCAACTCGAAATGGCATTGGGCTAATGGCGCGTCGTGGCAGGGCCCTCCTGTCAAAGAGTCTTGAGACTCGGTGAGGCTTTTGTGGGCAAATAAATGTTGTTATTGTAATTATCATCATCATCATCATTCCGTTTGACTTGCTGCTGCTTAAACGAGCATTGAGCCATCTGTGCCCATAGCCTGTGGTGGAAATTCCTAGTTCCTACGGCGGGAGCCGAGTCTATCCATAGGTAAAACCGCTGTTGAATTCCTCGCTAAGTGGTACTGATTTTATCGACCCTGGAGGGAGCGATGATGGGTTGAGTCAACCCCCTCCCAAAAAAAAAACCAGGACATGAACTTGAAACGTGCAGATTGCGAGCCGCTTGCTTGCTCTGCCCGTGAACCACGTGGTCGGATATCGTGGCCATGTCTGTTCAGGATAGCAATGCAAGTGTGGTCGGCATCTCATGAAAGTGTAACCTGACCGTTGCCTCGTCTTGTTTGTGTCCACAGCATTGGCGGGGCATCAGCCAGGGGGTGAGCGAGTGGATGAGCGGGCGAGTTGGCGAGGGGCCCGGCGTGTAGATGAGTGGGTGAGCGATTGCCTGAACGTGAGTGGGTGGGCGAGTGGGCGGGTGAGGGGGTGAGCGAGTGAGTGGTTGAGCGAGTCGATGAGTGAGCGGGACGGGTAGGTGGGTGAGCGAGCGAGGGGGGCAGTTGGGCGGGTGAGCGGATGCATTAGCTGTTGAGCGGGCAGGTGGGCGAGCGAGCGTGGGTGAGCTGGCGGACGAGCGACTGAACGACTGAAGTGGGTGGTCGAGCGGGCGAGCGAGCTGGTGGGTGAACAAGTTGGCGAGCGGTCTGGCGAGCGAGCGAGCGAGCGTGCGGTTTGGTGAGTGAGCGGGCGAGGGAGCCGGTGGGTGAGCAAGTTGGCGTGCGGTTTGGTGAGCGAGCGTGGTGGACGATGGCGGAGGTGGCCGGGGCGAGGAAGGTGAGCTGCTCGTCGGACTCGGTGTCCACCCCCAACTCGGAGGACTTCGTCCTCGTGCCGGGCAGCCCCGCCGCGCCACCCCCCGGCAGCGACGGCACGGGCCTCAAGGTGACCTCATCATCGTCATCTTCATCGTCATCTTCATCGTCATCATCGTCATCACGCGAACTCCGGTCATCCTCGCAGCAGGCGGTCAGCGCATTGCGCGACACTTTCAGACGCGCTTCTGCGGCCGTCTGGAATGCTCTTCCGTCAGTTATTAGAAGGCCCACCGGAGCCCTGCGTTTAGTTTATCGTCCGTCCCCCGCACCTCCAATTGGCGCGGCTGGCTACGTACGGTGCCGAGAGCGGTTCTCCGTGCCTCACGCACGCGTACAACATCGCCGTCACCGGCGGCAGCGGTGGTTACCCGGCCTTCTCAGCGGTGGTAACCCGGCTTTCTCAGTGGTGGGCCGGCGGTGTCGGGGCCTCTGCCGTCCGATCCGCTCGTTTTGCGGTTGACCCGCTGACCCGGGAGGGAGGGGAGGGGTCGCGCATGGCGTGCGAACGCCGCCGGTGGCTCACAAAGGGAGACACTGTACGAGGCGGGGGTTGCTGGCAAACAGAGCCGGGACAAAGCGTGCACACGCGCACTCTCTCCCGTCGCCATCACGGTGGGCAAACACGGGGCAGGGGGGGGTGGGGGGGGGGCACGGCAGGGGGGGGGGCACGGCAGGGGGGGGGCATGCCAGGGGGGGCACGGCAGGAGGCATGGCAGGGGGCACGGCAGGGGGGGCACGGCAGGGGGGGCACGGCAGGGGGGCACGGCGAGGGGGGGGCACAGCACGGCACAGTGAATAACTGAACCGGTCCTGGGCCTCCCCCGAGATCGACTCAGCCTTACAAATGTGTACTTGGTGCGGTGCGTATAAAGCATCGGCACTGGGGAGACAAAGGCGGCCGGGCGTGGTGCTGGCCAACCACCCCCTCGTGTGCCGTGCCGGCCTTCACAGGTGCTGCTCGCTAACAGCACTCGCCCCAACAGCCTGTTACAGGCAACACGCGGTCGATGGAGTGGATACGCGGGGAGCTTTATCTTTGTTTAGTCCACGCACGGGCACGTGGGGCTTTTGCGAATAGACTTTGCATAACACTGATAATCATCGGCGTTACAATGAATGAGTAGCAACACCGCCGTTTCAGAATGTCTGTATTGCACCACCGCCGTACGGTGAGGATGATGATGGTGGTGGTCGGCCAGATGATTACGGGAAGGTGCGGCAATACTGCGGCCGCGCATTGAGTCACCGGTGGCGCGCTCGCCGGATTTGCAAAAACGAGAGGGGGGGGGGGGCAGGGGGGGTGGGCGCAGAACCAGGGGGGGTGGGGGCAAGAGGTGTTGTGGGGGGGGGGTGCGTTACCCGGGCCCCCCCTCCCGAGGCGTCTGCCCCGTGCCGGTCCCACGGTGAGATTTTGTTGCAATCCCGAGTGGGTGGTTTGGGGGGGGGGGGGGTGGTGGTGATGGGTCGGGCCGGCTTTGCGTTGGCGCTGCGTGAGGCTGCGGCGGCGTGTGGAGTAAAGGCGCTTGGCTGAGAGTGGTGGGATGAGAAGTGGGGGGGGGGGGGGGGGGGGGGGCAAGGTGGGGGGGGGGGGGTCGCAGGGGGTGGCAAGACTTGACGACGTGTGTCTCAACTCTGGGCTTGCCTCGTGTTGAGGACCGGACCTGACCGTTTATTCTCAACCGGCACCGCGTTCAACCACCGCCACCATCACCACCATCACCACCGCCACCACTACCACCATCGCCACCACCATCGCCGCCACCACCACCGCCACCACCGCCGCCACCATCACCGCCACCACCGCCGCCGCCACCACCGCCGCCACCATCACCGCCACCATCACCACCACTGCCGCATCCACTAGCGCCACCGCCACCACCACCACCACCGCCGCCGCCACCACCACCGCCGCCACCACCACCGCCGCCACCACTACCATCATCGCCGCCACCACCGCCACGCTGCAGGTCACTACGGAGTGGTGAAGAATAAGAAAATGTTTCACCCTTTCTGGCAATGAAACAGGAGGTGTTGAGATGTTCAAACACCAAATTGATCACTTTTAAAGTTTAGCATGTGGGCATTCGCGACCAATATGATCCATAGCATAGGTTTTTATTGAAGTTAGATCACGTAAATGCGAACGTGTCGTTAAACCCGCCACCACCCGACACAGCCAATGAGTGAGGCTGTGTGGCGTCAACAGAACGTGGCCAATTGGTGACTGACACAGCACTACCGGCGTGTTGGACAGCAAATCCACAACATTTACAATCTGAGTCCACAAACTGTGGACTTGCTCTCCGACATTAAATAAATAAATGGACCGGGAGTAAATAAATAAACACGGATATAAATGAACAGATAAGTAAATAGATATGTAATATAATGTTGTATGTATAATATGATATAAGTAGATAGATATGTCATATAATGTCACGTGTATTTTTATGTAAAATACAAAGGCGTATGAGCGTGAGGGGCATTGCCATCCGCCACAGATCCCGGGCGCCGGCAATGAGAGCGCCCTGCAGGAGCAGCTGGCGGCCATGCTGAGCGATTGCGCCCAGGACGAGGAGGAGGCCGATGACGATGATGAGCAGGAGGGGGAGGAGGGGGAAGCGACGACGAGGGGAGATCCCCGCTCAGCGGAGGCCGCTGGCGCCGGGGGCTCAGCGGAGGCCGAAGGAGCGTCGGTGATGGCGGAGCGGACGGACGGCGAGATGAGCGACTCGCAGACGGTGGCCAACAACCCCCGCTGCTCCAAGGAGGGTGGGTGCACGCGACGACTGCGGCGGCGATGACGACGGCGGCGATGATGATGACAATGATGACGACGGCGGTGATGATGATGACGACGATGACAACAATGACGACGACGGCGATGATGATGGCGACGACGATGACAAGAATGATGACGACGGCGGCGATGATGATGATGACGATGACAAGAATGACGATGACGGCGGTGGAAACGACAACAATGATAACAATGACGATGACGAAGGCGACGACAACAACGAAAACGGCGCGTTCATCATATCACCGAAGAGGAAGTGTAACAAGAATAACAATTGAGCATGCGGGCGTCAGCTGATACAGTCCGCTCTTCTGTGTCGCTGCGTGTTGTTGTCACCACGCCAGTTGGATTCATAACGCGGTGATGAACGTATTGGGGAGCGCGTGTTTGTTCTAACGTGGAACGCGAATTGTACGCGACCGAGCGAACGGAACTACGTCGCAGTGCGACTGGGAATGAGCGGTCGCGTCACGGCCGCCTCGGCGTAGCCTCGTCGTCACGCAAAGCGTCGGGATGCTGCTGGATGCTTCTAAACGCTACCCACGTGCGCGCCTGCATAGGCATCTCGCGTGTTATTGCGGACTGCGCTCTAACCCGTGTTACGTACAGCAACGCGGTTTTTCCGTAACGCCGTGTTCTTCGGGAAACGCAACCGCTGTCCGCGTTTAGAGGACAGTCCGCGTGTGTCTCCATCCGTAACGACCCGGGTAACCTCGCGGGCACCTCCCCGTACGTGGGGGCTGGTGATCCGGTGAGAACGGAGCCTCACGGTAAAGGCCGCGGTTGCCGTTTGCCGCTCGCCTCACCGGGAGAACGAGCAAATCTAGTTGACGGTTCGCCCCTAGGCAAGAAATCTGGGCGGTAAAATTTTACCGCCGATAATCAGAATCTTTATTTAGAGCGGAGGAGGAATCAAGATGAGGTATGAAGATCTATTTTTTGTAGTTACAATAAAAGCGAATGACCGATGGGAGAATAGGTGAGCGGAGTCACGGAAAAAATAAACACAGAATATAAAACAGGAAATGAAGTAGTTGCGTTCCTAAAGAACACCGCGTCATGGAACATTCGCATTACAATAAATAAAATATAATACAGGGGGTAAAGCGCAGTCCGCGAAAACGCGCGAGATGTCTACGCAGGCTGCACAGAGACCGGGGAGCGCGCTTGGGTAGCATCCAGAAGCATCCAGCAGCATCCCAACGCCTCGCGCCACGACGCGACTGCTCATTCTCACTCGCTCGGTCGCGTCCAATCCGCGTGCCGCGTCCTAACAAGAACTCGCTCCCCGCTGCCTCTCGCCACCCCGTGCCGCCCTTCGCCAGGACCCCGCGGGCCGGACTCGGCGTCGCCAACGTCGTCGCGGTCGTCGCGGTCGCTGCGCGGCGACGACGACTGCGAGGATTGCGACGGCGCCGCCGAGCTGCTGGTGTTCCCGCGCGTCACCTACCTGGGCAGCGCCAGCGTGGACGCCCCGCGCAGCGAGCTGGAGGCGCTGCGCGTGGCGGCGATCCTGCGCCAGCAGTGCCTGGCGCCGCTGGAGGTGGCGCTAGCCGTGCCCACCGCCTCCGGGGGCTCCGTGCGGTGAGGGCGGTGCGGTGCGGTGCGTGTGGTGATGTTTTCGTGGTGGTCGGGTGGCGTCGGATCGCGGTGCGTGGCAGAAGATGGCGAAGGATTCTCTGACACCGCCGTTAATGTTCACTTGCCCAACCACCCACTGACTCAGCTACTCACTCAGCCACCCAACCAACCACTCACTCAGCCACCCACTCACCAATTCACCAATCCACTCACTCAGCCACCCAACCACCCACTCACTCAGCCACCCAACCACCCACTCACCAACCCACTCACTCAGCCACCCAACCACCCACTCACCAACCGACTCACTCAGCCACCCACTCACCAACCCACTCACTCAGCCACCCAATCACCCACTCACCAACCCACTCACTCAGCCACCCAACCACCCACTCACCAACCGACTCACTCAGCCACCCACTCACCAACCTACTCACTCAGCCACCCAATCACCCACTCACCAACCCACTCACTCAGCCACCCAACCACCCACTCACCAACCGACTCACTCAGCCACCCACTCACCAACCTACTCACTCAGCCACCCAATCACCCACTCACCAACCGACTCACTCAGCCACCCACTCACCAACCGACTCACTCAGCCACCCACTCACCAACCCACTCACTCAGCCACCCAATCACCCACTCACCAACCCACTCACTCAGCCACCCAGCCACCCACTTACCAATCCACTCACTCAGCCACCCACTGAACCACCCACTCACTCTGCCACCCAACCAACCACCCACTCACCAACCCACTCACTCTGCCACCCAACCACCCACTCAACAACCCACTCACTCAACAACCCACTCACTCAGCCACTCTGCCACCCAACCACCCACTCAACAACTCACTCACTCAGCCACTCAACCACCCACTCACTCAGCCACCCAACCACCCACTAACCAACCCACTCACTCAGCCACCCAACCACCCACTCACCAATCCACTCACTCAGCCACCCAACCACCCACTCACCAACCCACTCACTCACCAACCCACTCACTCTGCCACCCACTCACTCAGCCACCCAACCACCCAGCAGTGTGTCGATGTCACGGCACCCTGTGTTTGAGACACCCGTGTCTCCGTGTCTCCGTGTCCCCGTGTCCCCAGGATCCTGGAGGCTGACAGCAGTGTGGAGATTGCCCGCTACCCGGTGCAGCGCATCCTGTTCTGCGTGCGTGGCCACCGCGCCACCCAGGAGAGCGACTGCTTCGGCTTCACCGAGAGCCACAACGCCGCCGATATCTTCCGTATCCACGTCTTTCGCTGCCCCGAGCCGCACGAGGTCACTCCGCCCACGCTCGCTGATTTACTCGCACACCCAGTCACTCGCTCACTCGCTCACTCACTCGCACACCCGCTCACCCAGTCGTTCGCTCACTCACACACCCACTCGCTCGCGCAGTCGCACATCCGCTCACCCACCCTCTCACTCGCACACCCACTCGCTCGTTCACTCACACACCCACTCGCTCGCTCACTCACACACCCACTCACTCGCTCGCAAACCCGCTCACATACCCTCTAGCTCGCACACCCAGTCGCTCGCTCACTCACACACCCACTTGCTCACTCACTCGCACACCCACTCACTTGCACATTCGCACACTCGCACACCCGCTCACTCGCACACCCGCTCACACACCCTCTAACTCGCACACCCTCTCACTCGCACACCCACTCTCTCGCTCACTCGCACACCCGTTCACTCACCCGCTTACTCGCTCACTCACTATCTCAATCGCACATTCTCTCGCACACCCGCTCACTCACCTGCTTCCCCACTCGCTCACCCACCCACATACCCACTCGCTCGCTCACTTGCACACCCTCTCACAGACCCTCTCGCACAACTGCTCACGCCTCACTCACTCACTCACTCGCTCATAAACCCGCTCACTCACCCGCTTGCACACCCACCCGCTCACCCACCCACGCACTCACTCACTCACTCGCTCACTCACTCACTCACTCACTCACGCGCTCACCCACTCGCGCTCACGCGCTCACCCACTCACGCGCTCACCCACACACCCGCTCACCCACCCACGCACTCACTCACTCGCTCGCTCGCTCACCTACTAACGCGCTCACTCACTCACGCGCTCATCCACACACCCGCTCACCCACCCACGCACTCACTCACTTGCTCGCTCACCCACTCACACGCTCACTCCCTCACTCGCTCGCTCGCTCATACACCCGCTCACTCATCCGCTTGCACACCCACCCACACAGCTGCTCACCCACTCACGCGCTCACCCACTCATGCACTCACCCACTCACGCGTTCACTCACTCGCTCACTCGCTCACTCACTCGCTCACTCACTCATTTGTTCTCCCGGCAGGTGAGCCGGCTACTGCACAGCTTCGCGGCGGCGTTCGAGGTTTGCGCCCGGCCCAGCGGAGCCGGAGCCGGATCGTCGGGGCCAGGCTCCAGTCCAGCACTCACGGCCTCCACCCCCAACCCCGACCTCTTCACCTTCACCGTCGCCATGGAGATCAGGGAGGATGACGGGAAGGGGAACTTCAGGTGATGATGGTGGTGGCGGTGATGATGATGGAGGGTGCATGTCTTCGTCCTTGTGTGCGGCGAGCGGTGGTGCAGTGGTTCGTGCGCAGCGCGACAAACCCAGCCACCCGAGTTCGACTCCCGCTCGCGGCCAACACCGCTGGCGAATAACCAGTGCTGGGCCTCCCCTAGGTTTACTCGGCCTTAAACGAGTACCTGGCACAGTGTGTATGAAGCGTCAGCATTGGGGAGACAAAGGCGGCCGGGCGTGGTTGCTGTTGGCCACTCCTCCACCCCCCCCTCGTGCGCCGTGCCGGCCTTCATAGGTGCTACTCGCTGTAACAGCACTTGCCCTAGCACACATCCGTTAAGTCTACACGGGGGACCTTTGTCTTTTTTGTGCGGCAGCGCGGTGCCCGTGGACAAGGAGAAGCAGTACTTCAAGCTGCGCTCGGGCGTCGAGAAGAAACTCGTTCTGAACGTGAACCAAGCATCCAGTCGCGAGCTCACCATCGAACGGTAGCTCCACCCGGCCACCCGCTCGCTCACCCGCTCACTCACCCGCTCGCTCACCCTCTCGCTCACCCGCTCGCTCACCCGCTCGCTCACCCGCTCACCTGCTCTCTCACCCGCCAATCACATGCTCACTCACTCACCCGCTCGCTCACCCATTCACCCACTCTCTCATTCGCTCGTTCATTAACCTAACAACCCACTCACTCGCTTACTCACCCACCCGCTCACTCACCCACTCACCTGCTCTCTCACCCACTCGTTCATTAACCTAATGACCCACTCACTCGCTTACTCACCCACCCGCTCACTCACCCGCTCACCTGCTCTCTCATTCGCTCGTTCATTAACCTAACGACCCACTCACTCGCTTACTCACCCACTCGCTCACTCACCCACTCACCTGCTCACTCACCCGCTCGTTCATTAACCTAACGACCCACTCACTCGCTTACTCACCCACCCGCTCACTCACCCGCTCACCTGCTCTCTCACCCGCTCGTTCATTAACCTAACGACCCACTCACTCGCTTACTCACCCACTCGCTCACTCACCCGCTCACCTGCTCTCTCACCCGCTCGTTCATTAACCTAACGACCCACTCACTCGCTTACTCACCCACTCGCTCACTCACCCACTCACCTGCTCTCTCACCCGCTCGTTCATTAACCTAACGACTCACTCACTCGCTTACTCACCCACTCGCTCATTCACCCACTCACCTGCTCTCTCACCCACTCGTTCATTAACCGAATGATTCACTCACATGCTCACTCACTCACCCACTCACTCGCTCACCCACTCACTCGCTCACTCGCACACTCACCCACTCACTCGCTCCCTTGCCCACTTACCCATTCACTCGCTCTCTCGCCCACTCACCCGCTCACTCTCTCACTCGCTCACTCACTCACTCACTCGCTCTCTCACCCGCTCATTCATTAACCTAATGACCTACTCACATGCTCAATCACTCACCTGCGCACTCACCCGGTCACTCAGTAACCTGACCACGCACTCACACGCTCACATACTCACATACTCTTTCACCTGCTCGTTCATTAACATAACCACCAGCTCACATGCTCAAAACCCACTTGTTCATTCATTCATTTACACAACCACCCACTTCACTTGCTCTCCCGCCCACTCATTCATTAACCTAATGACCCCCTCACATGCTCACTCACTCACCCACTCTCTCACCTGCTCATTCATTAACGTAACCACCAACTCACTCATTCATCCACTCATTCACTAACTTAACCACCCACTCACATGCTTGCTCATTCACCCACTCACTTACCGGCTCGTACACCCGCTCATTCCTTAACCTAACCACCCACTCACAGGCTCACTGACCCACTTGTTCATTCACTTACACAGCCACTCACTCACACGCTAACTAACCCACTCGTTCATTCACTTACACAACCACTCACTCACACGCTCACTAACCCACTCGTTAATTCATCTACACAGCCACTCACACGCTCACTAACCCACTCGTTCATGCACTTGCACAACCACCCACTCACACGCTCACTAACCCACTCGTTAATTCATCTACACAGCCACTCACACGCTCACTAACCCACTCGTTCATTCACTTGCACAACCACCCACTCACACGCTCACTAACCCACTAGTTCATTCACTTACACACTAGTTAATTCACTTACACAGCCACCCACTCACACGCTCACCAACCCACTCGCTCACCACGTGGCTCTCAGTGCCACGTGGTCACCGCGAGATGGCGCTGTCCACCAGTGGCTGGTGCTGGACACTCGAACCCGGCGACTTTGACGTCGGCGTTGTGAACGACGCCGACGCAGAAGATCCCTCGGCGTTTGATCTTCCACGGAGCTCATGGTCCACCCTCAACCGCATCCAGCACTGCACGAACCATGGCAGCAGATGCGGATAACTGATGATGGCACAAATGGAAGAATAAATAAAATAAATAAAATAAAACTCTATAGCAGTGCGCGACTGGGCTCATCCAGAACGGACCGTGCATCGTATAACGGACGCAATGCTCCGATCTGCAAATACGAAGGAGAGACATCACAGCGATGCACTCGGCTGCTGCTCCTGACGCGGTGGTCTGGCCTGGCCCGCTGAATGTGAAATTGTAGCTGTTGGTCTGCATCGACATCAACCACACAACAACAACAAGTAGATTGGTGTTAATAGGGTTCATCGCGACAATTCCTCCTGCTCCTCCCCCTCCTCCTCCTCCTCTCTCCTCCTCTCTCCTCC